TTTTAATTTGCAACATTTTTTTTTTAATTTGTAGTATTTTCTTTTTCGTTTTATTTTGTACCCATGTATTAATTTCTTTTAGCGCCTATATTTTTAAAAAATTCATTTGTACTCATAATTTTTTAATCTTTTATATGTACCCTAATTTATTTATAATGTACCCATTCTTCTTTATTAATTTACCACTTTGTTATATGTGAAATGTACCAATTTTTTTAACACTGTGGATACATTCTCTTTGTCATTTATTATTTCTTATTTTTACATAGTTTTTATCCATTTATTCAATCAAAATGTTTGAATTATTTTGTAAACATCGAAATTTCGGTAAATAAATGTTGACCGATAAATCAAAGTTTCAACGCTCATGTATTACATAAATTTTACACTTAGCGTGTGTCTAAACAAAAAATCAAGAATCATCGGAAAAGTTATCAAACAGGACACGTGTCAACACCTAGCAGAAACGACTTATTTCATCTGGAATATTATATTCAAAATTAGGCCTTGGAAAATTCTATAAATAGAAGCCAATTTCATTCATTTCATGGGACCAATTCATATTACACCTTGAAGCTCTGAAGCTCTAAAACTCCGAAGCTCTCAAGCATCCAGGTTCCCGAAGAATCAAGAAAGCCTTCTTCGTTCTTCGTTCATCGTTCTTCCAAGATCAAGCCTCGACGGCCCTTGGATCAACAATCATCCACCTTCAAGATCAAGCCCCGACGGTCCTTTGGATCAACAACGTCGACAAATCCACACATCCAACCGTCCTTCAAGATCAAAGCCCAAAAGCCCTTGAGGATCCGTTCATCACTGTTCTTCAAGATCAAGCCCAAAAGCCCCTTGAAGATCCGTTCATCACCGTTATTCAAGATCAAGCCTCAACAGCCCTTGAAGAAACGCTCATCCTCAAGATCAAGCCCCAACGGCTCCTTGAAGATCCGCTCAAATCCACTTTCAAGATCAAGCCCACGGCCCTTAGATCAAGCCCAACGGCCCTTTGGATCAATCGCACATCCACAAACCAACATCTTACGAAGATCGAATTAGATGATCAAATTTGAGAGAGATTGTAACCCAAAATCATTAAATACAAAATATTATTTTGTGCACGTTGTTCTTGTCTCTTTCCTTTCAGGAAATTTTCGTGTTCACATATTTAATTGTAACCGTTTCTAATAGTATTATAATGAGGGATTTTAAATTTATAGGATTATAAATCTCATACAATATCAAACAAAATATTAATAGTACTATAATGAGGTGTACAAAGTCAAGGGACTTAGATCAAACTTTGAATACCATTAAGGTTTTAATCAAAGAATGTTAAGGATTAAGGACCGCATCCAAAGTATCCCAGAGATACTTTGAATGCGGTTCCTAGTCCCTAACACTCCTTGACTAAAACCTTAATGGTATTCAAAGTTTGATCAAAGTCCATTGACTTTGTACACGTCATTATATTACTATTAATATTTATATTTTTATAGTTTTGACATTAATTGTTTGATATTTTATAAGATTTATAATCCTATAAATTTAAAATCCCTTATTATAATACTATTAGAAACGGCTACAATAAAAAAATTCAAATATTTTGATTGAATAAATGGATGAAAACTATGTAACAATTAGAAATAATAAATGGCAAAAGAATATATCTATAGTGTTAAAAAAATTGGTACATTTCACAGATAACAAAGTGGTACATTAATAAAGAAGAATGGGTGCATTATAAATAAATTAGGGTACAAATAAAAGATTAAAAATTATGAGTACAAATGAAAATTTTAAAAATATGGGCGCAAAAAGAAATTAATACATGGGTACAAATTAAAACTAAAAAGAAAATACTACAAATTAAAAAAAAAGGTTGCAAATTAAAAGTGGGTACAAACTAAAAATATAAATATATGATACAAAGTTTAGCCATAAAACATAAAATATACCATATTTAATTTTTCTATCATTGATTAATTATACAATGTCACGTGACAGTAAACACATGGGCACAAATACAAATAAAACTTTAAAAAATATGGGCACTGACACACCCTAACCCGGAATGTCCGCTAGGACTCCGAATCGAGATGTGCTGGCTGACACTTGGAATGTGACGAAGCCACAAAGTGTAGTGATGTGGAAAATATGAATAAATTTAAACCTAAAAGTGCCTAAATATAAGAGTGCACTGTGAACGGGAATGAACTCATTTCACACGTGATTATAGAGCATAAGTAAAGTACAGTAAGGTAAGATAAGGATTATACCATCATAGGTAGCCACCTATACTGGGATATGCCAAGAATCCTTGTCGATACAAAAGCTCGGCTACTAAAACCTAGAGGGGTGAAAAACAGAAGGGTGAGTGGGCAAAAACAAAGTGTTTGAAAACATATTTAGCTTTATGAACATAATAACCCCTCTCCATAAAACCCGTATAGTTTCCAGAAAATACTACTATGTAGGTACGAAAAACCAATGCACAAGGCCAACGAAAAACACACCCCGACCCGGAATGTCCATTAGGACTCCGAATCGAGATGTGCTGGCTGACACTTGGAATGTGACGAAGCCACAAAGTGTAGTGATGTGGAAAATATGAATAAATTTAAACCTAAAAGTGCCTAAATATAAGAGTGCGTTGTGAGCGGGAATGAACTCATTTCACACGTGATTATAGAGCATAAGTAAAGTACAGTACGGTAAGATAAGGATGATACCATCATAGGTAGCCACCTATACTGGGATATGTCAAGAATCCTCGTCGATACGAAAGCTCGGCTACTAAAACCTAGAGGGGTTAAAAACAAAAGGGTGAGTGGGCAAAAACAAAGTGTTTGAAAACATATTTAGTTTTATGAACATAATAACCCCTCTCCATAAAACCTGTATAATTTCCAGAAAATACTACTACGTAGGTACGAAAAAACCAATGCACAAGGCCAGTGAAAACTGAAGTATGCCATGTCATAATATTTCAGCACTAAAAGATGTAGGTCAGGTGTGAAACCAATATAAAGTAGTATGTCAGTCGGAGTCACCTAACGTGACCTGTACGACTGGATCTATAACTCATTAACATATGTCTGCACACTAGTCGGAGTCACCTAATGTGACATGTACAACAAGCTGAGTGTAAATAAGTACGCTCAAGTGCTACGATCACGTGAAAGATGTGGAATAAATCGCATGTTACCTACGAGTTGGAATCACTTATTATGGTTTGTACGACAGTCTAGCACCAAAACTTGGATCCAAGGTGAGCGTGCGGTGCAGGAGGTGAACAATCACGTGAAAGTTGTGCCCTAGCCTTGGGCATGAACACTAACACCTTGGTGCAGCATAATAAGCTCTTAATGCATAAATGCATGGCAATATGCAATGCAACAAGACCAATCACACGCTAACTCACCTGAAGCTTACTTGAGCCTCTGCATCATCAAATAGTATAATTCATAATTCATACTAATGCAACAATATAGTAATAAGTAGTAATAAGCGGTATAGACATGGCATACTTCAGTTTTCCCTGGCCTTGTGCATTGGTTTTTCGTACCTACGTGGTAGTATTTTCTGGAAACTATACGAGTTTTACGAAGAGGGGTTATTACGTTCATAAAGCTAAATATGTTTTCAAACACTTTGTTTTTGCCCACTCACCCTTCTGTTTTTCGCCCTTCTAGGTTTTAGTAGCTGAGCTTTCGTATTGACGAGGATTCTTGGCATATCCTAGTATAGGTGGCTATCTATGATGGTATAATCCTTATCTTACCTTACTGTACTTATGCTCTGTAATCACGTGTGAAATGGGTTCATTCTTGGTCATAGCGCACTCTTATATTTATGTACTTTTAGGTTTAAATTTATTCATATTTTCCACATGACTACACTTTGTGGCTTCGTTACCTTCCAGGTGTCGGCCAATACAGCTCGATTCGGAGTCCTAGCGGACATTCAGGGTCGAGGTGTGTTAGGCACAACAAGAAATTATTAAATTGGTAAAAATTAAAAATGAAAAGAAAATTGGTAAAAATTAAAAAAGGTTTGCAAATTAAAAACAGGTACAAACTAAAAATAAAAATATATGATGAAAAAATTTAGCCATGAATATAAATATACTAATTGTAACATTTTTAACACTAAATGAATATATTTAGAAATAAAAAGTTTACCAAATACTTTATTTTACAACGGTTTATTCTCACAACACAATAGAAACAGGTTTTTAAGAAGTACAACAATGCCAAACTAGTCCTATGTGTTAAGAATGGTTAAAGGACATGTTTTCAAGTGTTGAAAGGAGCCCTAGAGAGGCTATCGGAAACGCGTAGGCATTCAGATTGGATATTCAAAAATTTATTGTGAATGAAAAAAATGGTTAGCTGGAAGTGCTAAGAAGTATAGATTGCATAGTTATAATCGTAATAGAAGATGTAAGAAAGCTGTCAGGACAAGAACTTCCATGAGGAAAAGTTCTAAATTGTTTCAACCATTAAGTCGCAGTTCCTCTATATTGTGCCAGAAATGGGGTGAAGCCAATCATTTGATAGTTTTTATGTTAATAATTAAACAATAAAGTCCAGAAAAAAATGTAATAGATTTGGGAATGTGCTCCTGCATAACCCATGCCTTTGGGATCATTCTCGAATGTATTTAAAATTTTATGTCATATATAGGATTGTCATTTGAGCATTGACAATCTACCAAAATTAGTATTTATTATGTCTATGATGATCTAGATAAGGGCTTTAATCATCTATCCGTTGCCCATCCTCCCATCCGAGCAGAACAAATCGAAGGGGGTCAAATTTCATTTGAAGAAAATCCTCATTGCTGCAATCGTGCTGTGAAATTTTGTAACAAATTGAATGATTCTAAGTCTCATATTTATGTTAGATGATGCGTGTTCTTCCACCAAATCCAAGTTCGCAATTTGAATGGGTTTACGCCTCCATGGAAATACTAGATTTCATATGAAGAGTTCTAGAAGAGGATGGAATAAAAAAAGATTGAATACAAACTTATACTTATGCATATTGATTAACGCACATTGCGGTACACATAGGCTGCCACTGTAGCAGGAGTTATTAATCACTTAATAATGTGTTACAGTATGATAGTAAGAATGATAGATCTATTTTTATCACTTATAAATTTCAAGTTACAGCACCATTGGTGTTGAATAAATGTCAAATCTCTCAGAAGATGTCAACTGGGGCTCCTACAATCAAAAGACCAAACATTTTCAATAAATTCTCAAAACATATATAGAGAATGTTTAATCAACCAATCCAAATTTAATAGGACATTAATTTACTTCTGTTTTTATCCTATCTATACTCTTTATCACATGTATAACTCTTTTGTGTATCTTTTATTAATAAGTAGTATAAATAATTTGACTCTGACACAAAATCAACACTTTAATCAATGTACGTTCTACCATTGTATAGAGAGAGGTATCGATTTTATGTATCTAAATAGCATTAATTATATTTGGGGGTATATGTTGCTGCCTAATACTTGCAGTGTTGTTTCGATAAGTGTGTGTATGGAGTGTTTGAACAGGTGTAACCAACTATATGAATCTTGGAAAGATACTTAACCATCTCAACGCCAGTTTTAGCTTCACGAATTTTATGGCGCATAGCATTCAGCAGAAAGCCATATGTCGATCCGCGATTATTATCCGCTGCTTGGATAAAGCTATAAGTCAAGGCACCCGTCGAAGTGTCTCCAGATAAAGCCTGCACAATCCCACGAATTTGTGTTATTTTACATTGCATTTGTTTTCTTTAAAGTTAATTAAGTGTAGTAGAACTATCTCTGCTCTTCGTTATTGCACTAATACAAATTCAAACAGTGTTGAATTGTAATCTTGTCTTGGCCCAAGGATAATGGATCTAGCCCATACACAAAGAAAGATCCTTGCATATGCTAGAGAATTCTAGCAAAGTTCAAGTTAGTGGAAGAGTCTAGAAGAATGGTGAGAATTCCACCAACATACAAGATTAGTGTAGATAATTCTATCATGGGAAGGTAGTGGAATTGTCTAGATATATCTAGCATGATGTTTCCATGCTTCTCCAAGGTTCCATCCATGCCTATTAAAGGAGAAGACATTCACACCATTTGAAACAACCAAGAGAGCAAGTAGTGAGAAGTGAGAAGAAGCAACAAAGCTTCTAAGAGTGTTTGAGTGTTTCCTCTTGTACTAATTTGTGAGTGAATAAAAAAATCTTGTGTAATACATTGAGTGTTCTTTCTTTCTCTTGCCTATCAATTCCGCTGCATTACATTTTTCTTTGTGAGATAAACATCTCCAAAGTAGTGAAGTCTTTTTAAGCCCCAACAAAGAGTATATATATCTTTGTTCACACATTAATCGTATATAGGGTTTAGAGTTAGAGGAGGGAGAGTTAAACTTGCAACCTCTTTCGACATTGTTTATCAATTAAGAGCTAGTTGATTGATGTCCGCATACATCGATAATACTCACCGTAGTGTCTGCAGACTTTTGATGATCGTCACAAGAGCTTATGGAGACGGCTATTCCACCACTTGTGCCTTTATAAGTAGGTGAGAATTGATGATCTTCCCACACATAGTGTCCTTCTCTACATTAAAAAACAACAAATACATATATATATCGTGTTTAATTTCTCAATTAGTCGGGTCTAATTAAGAAAATGTGTTCAGCACATTAAATGATACATGTAGCTGGGTAGGTGCTGCTAACAATTACCTGTTGATCCGGCAAAGAAATCGTAGATCAAGAACAGTTCCACTATGGCAGGCATCGATAATGGCATGAAGTTTGGCACCATGGGGCAGTGGCCTAACAATGGTGGCGTTAATTTCATCATCAATGATCATCCCCTCGGTCTCAAAATCAACAGGGCACACCGTTTCATCGATGCCGTCAATCTCATCCATCGAATAGTCAGGCTGGGTTGAGCCATGGCCGGAGAAGTAGAACACCAACGAGTCTCCTGATTGGCAGCCCTGCACCAACCACTGTAACGCCATTCGCATGTTTTGTTTTGTTGGGATCCTAAAAGGGTCCGTCTCATGTTCTACACCACAGCAAGAACAAGTGACCTTACATATTTTTTATGATTATAAATTGGAGAATTATTTTAAAATAATCATTTGATATTCTTGTACCATTTATTCTCAACTTAATGCGACTGGCTAATTAGTTCATACCTCATGAAATGATAGTTGTTAAATCAAAAGAAATAGAATTCGAGAAATGTTTTTCGTGATTAATAGTGTGAAATTAATTATGTATAACTAATTAGGACTACCTGTGAGCAAGAGTACGGAATGATTTGGAAAGCCCAATCTGTCAACAAGAAAGTATTTCATGCAGTGAACATCGTTCACAGTTCCTTTGAGCTTGTAACTTTTCCCATTGTAACTCACTCCACACAGCACCGCGCGCTTTCTTCCATACGCCGAAGGAGGCATCAAGGGTTTTGGTACAAATGGCTGGGACAGCTGATGCTGGTAGTATTGAGGATTAGCAGGGCGGGCAGCATTCGGGGAGGGCATGGACATCACTCTAGTCATTCGGCTTTTAACACGGTTGACAGTGTGGTTTATTGTATCTTGGCCTGCTCGGATCAGAGGATTGACGGATGATCTACTAATGCGGGTGATGCCTTCACACGCATCACAGCGAATGATTTGTGCTTCTGATGGCACAAGAAGTTGCCGTCCACACCCATTGCACCTCTCATTCCGACATGCCATTTCAAGTTCTAGCTTGGGGAATGAGGGTGCTAGATATGTATTATATATACCAACTGGAAATCCCAGAAATTGGTAGAGAATATTAGATACGGGACAAAACTTGGGTGCCTTTGGTAGGATTGGTCTGAGATGCTTCAGCTCATTTATAGCCAATATTCGATCACTTTTAGGATTGGTGGAGAACATGGTTCGGTCCGCGCGCTTTTAAATCTCTTTCGTATAAAATGTTGTTTATTTTTATTTTTATTTATTTATTTATTTGTGTGTGACAGATATGCATGATTCGAGTTGATCAAACAACTCGGACCCATGACCAGTGACTAAACATCTAAATCCCAGCAACCCAACCCATCGGTTCAAATAGGAAACTACTAGCAATTCAGCCCGTGCGATATTCTGGGTTTTGAAACCGTGTTTAATGTGCGAAATATATTAAAATCTGTTTACATTTATACCAAATCTATTTACATTATGCTCAATAGGGTAAAAAAGATGTGTTTGTAGAATAGATTTTGAGTTATATACTGAGCTCTATTGAGTCCTCTTGCCGTCCAAGGATGTGAGTTCATTGGTGAAACCACATGATCATTACCACAAATAAGTGCTAAAGGAAATAGCCTTATAATCAAGTAGTAAGTGATTTAAGTCTATTCTAATATATAAATGTGAAGATAGATAGATTGATAGACATAAAAAAAGCAAGTTATGAAGATTGAGAGAGTAGAGAGGAACTGAAATAGACCTCAGCAAGAGTAGTAGTACTGCAGTCTGTAGAGGGTGCCCAATTCTTGGTCTCTCCAACTTCAAACCTTGTCCCACATTAGAAACAATGAGATCATTGTCAGCAGAAAGTACAATACGAAAGTTGGAAACAAACTACTTAAACTCGAGCAACTATGACCAAATGATGATAATTGTATGAAAAAGAAACAATAAAAATTTAAAAAAAAAACAAACAACACTCCACATACAATTTGAATTGAAAATTGTAATCAAAATTCCTCTCCTTATTTGAATCAAAAGAATGCAGAAATCTGTCATTGCGTATGTACTTCTTGAAGATCTTTTAGAAATACGCATCGCCCTTGCGCCTGCACAAAATTAAAAATTTTAAATTAAGGTATAACTGTTTGGAAATACATGATGGGGTACATAATTGTCAAACATGTCGTGTGGACATTGCTTCAAATTTCGATTAGCCTACAAATACATGATATATATATATAGGAGTAATACACAAAATATGCAACAAAATATGATCTCTTGGAAGCACTCTACAATCTCTCAAATCACCAACAGCAGTCATAACCTTATTATTTCCAAATACATGTGTGAAACAAACAAACCTGCCATCAAAACACGGAAAGAACACTGACGTTGTTATCGCGTTATCATAAGGTAGAGGTTGATCATGGGACAATCAGAAAGGGAACAATTGGTGGCAAGTCATAGTTATCCACCCCTTCCGGGCCCGGAAAGATTATAAGGAATTTCACCATGCTCATTCAATGGTTATATAAAAGTTTGGCCTACTCATGTTGAAAAGAAAAAGAATGAATCACTGATTAGGAACATGGATGGATTCATAACTAATTAAATTAAAGGCATCAAATTAAGCATCAATGCAACAATAACTTCTGGTTTCAAAAACTCATCTTTTACATAAGAACATAAACCACATCTGTAATTACCTAAATTAGGAAAAATTAATACAACTAAAAACAAAGATACCATCTTGGCAACCCCAAGAAGAGAGTATAAATCATAGAAAACCCAAAATTATAATCTCATGAAACAACAGAAAAATAATGGGTGAAATCAAGTTTGCAACAGTATAACACAGGTCATTCACAAAAACACATGCATCATCAAAGTAGCAACATAGAATCTAAAAATAGTTAACCAAATTTCAAACTAACTTACAAAAAAAAAAATCAAAACCCATTAATCTTAATCAGATTTCAAACCAAAAAAGGGACGGCACTACCATTGAATCAAGCTCCAGACAGTGCACCAATAACAGCAAGCAAACCCACCACCATGCCCCCCAACAAGCTAAGAACTGAGACGCATAAGAAACTTCTCTCAAATAATTAAAAAAACTTTGAGCAAATTTCTCAGCTCTGGCCGGAACGGGAACCGAAGCGTTGGACTCAGCTCGTTTCCTGTCGAAAACAAATCAAACCCATTAGCGAAAAACCCAAGAAATTAAGGTTTATGATGGAGGTTGGGGAGAGGATGAGGATTATCACTTGAAGGAGGGGGTGGAGTTGTAGAAGAGGTCGATCTATCACGAAGAGAATCATAGATTAGCTAAGCTGAAAAACGCTGAAAAACAAAACCCAAAAGTAAAGTGAAGAAGACGCAGTTGAAGTAGATGATGAAATTGTTTCACAATAAAACCAATTGGCAATATGGGAAGTAGATGATGAAATTGTTTCACTATAAAACCAATTGGCAATATGGGAGTAACCAAGACCATATATGCACATAGCAAACCTTATCCTTCACCGATGTGGAACAACTCTCAACACGCCCCCGCACATGTGGCGGATTTTCAAACCTACACGTAGACAACAACTAGGTGACGTGGAATGCGTGTGGTCGTTGGGCTTCACACGTGGACAACCTTGCTCTGATATCTTGATGAAATTAAGGTTCTACCATAAAAACCAATTGGCAATATGGGGAGTAGCCCAAGACCATATAAGCACATAGCAAACTTTGTCCTTCACCAATATGGGACAACTCTCAACAAAAACCTTAGTTCCCGCCACAACAACCACAAGTGATAACAATTGAATCAATTCATCCAAATCTGTAACTGTTTGAATATTTTGAATTCAAAATAGATTGTATGATAATATTGTGCTTTTGTATTTTCTGTAATTATCTTTTAGTTTGTTTTAAGAGTTTGTTCCTCACTCAAACTTTATCTTGTAAAGCTCTATATAAACGTTGAATTAATACAAGCTCGGTATCGAGCACAATTCTTATATGGTATCATATTTTTTCTAGCCTCACGACATACCTCTCTCAAATAACAATGGCTTCTTCGGGGACGTGTTGAGAGTTGTCCCACATCGGTGAGGGACAATGTTTGCTATGTGTTTATATGATCTTGGGCTACTCCCCATATTGCCAATCGGTTTTATGGTGGAACCTCAATTTCATCATGATATCAGAGCAGGTTGTCCTCGTGTGAAGCCAAATGGCCACGCATGCTCTACATCACCTAGTTGTTGTCCACATGTAGGCTTGAAAATTCGTCACACGTGCGGGGGCGTGTTAAGAGTTTTCCCACATCGATGAGGGACAAGGTTTGCTATGTGCTTATATGGTCATAGGCTACTCCCCATATTGCCAATTGGTTTTATGGTGAAACCTCAATTTCATCAGTAGAGAGATTAACGATGAGGAGACGATTCCAGAAGAACTAAAAGCAAGAGCAAAACCCGGAGAGAAGCAGAGAGTGGCGACAGACATGGCGCAAACCAAACGGCAAAGTGATGAAAACCAAGTCACACTGGTGATAGATGCATGGCCAACAAAGAAATAAGCGGAAGACGAAAGAATGATCGAGAAAAAGGAATAAAACCAAGGGGTTAACGATGAGTGACGCGTGGTGAAGTTGGGCAAAATCAGAATTTTGTTGTACCAAGCAAACAACAAAACTTGAAAATGAGAAGAAACAAAGGGTGTTTCGCATTTCACTATTCACGAACAGTGAAAAACAGTGCTTGAGGAACCCAGTTTTAGTATATGTATAATGTTCTGCCTAACTCTGCAGCAATAAAAACCGATTCCTTTTTCTATTTTGTATTTTTGGTAAAACTAGGGTCAAATGCCCAAGAAAAACAACTAATGAATACCTATTCCTTTTGTTTTAAGATTTACATAATAATCATAAATGCTAGGCATACCGTCTTTTCAAACCACATTTTGTAAATCTATGAGCACTATCCTACTTTTTATACAATCATGTATTTACACTAGATGGTTTGGCCTCATCTACAAAATGAGTTAGTCATACTATTTGGTATCGAACTTATCATCTACAAGAGTCGAATTTACGGTCTCTCGCTTACTACTGAAGAAGAAATACCACTAAACTCTATTACTAAATGACAATAATACATTTATTAATGACTTACAATTATTGTGAGAATCATGCATATGAGTGTTTTGATATAAAAAAATTACACTATCAATATTTTAGTGATTTTGGGCCCACACATGTTGAATATAATATCCATAAAACTAAGGAACAAACACATGGTAGCCCACGAATTTGGAGGAGAAAGTCTCATACTCCTGAACAGCAAAGGAAGATTATCTCTCCTCTAAATCTCCTTCTCTCCCCTCCTCTCTCACTTTCCTCTTTATCTTTCTCTCTTTATAAAAAAGTCAACACAAGATATTGACATGACTTAATCGTGATCGCTCAAATAGGATGGGTTTGTAAGGGAGGAGAATTTGGAGGGGAGAGAATCCTACTCTGAATCCAAATCCCTTCCCCTCCCCCTCACCTCCTCTCTTACTTTCCTCTTTGTCATTCTCCCTATAAAGAAGTCAGTACAAGATTTTGACATGGTTTAATCGTGACCATTCAAATATGAGGGGCTATAGGGGAGGAAAATTTGGAAGTGAGAGAATCTTACTCTTGCTTCCCTCTCACTTTCCTATGTCTTTCTCTCATTATAAAGAAGTCAACATAAGATGTTGACGCGAGATTTAATCATAATCATGACCGTTCAAATAGAAGAGAACTGTAGAAGAGGAGAATCTGGAGGGAGGAGAATCATTCTTTTATAGGATCAATTAGAATATTGTCTAATGTTTAATTGATTGAAAAGTTTAAAGCCTATCCTGATAAATCATGTCAAATGGCTTTATTGAATGGTTGTGATGAGTACAATGTGTCTTTTTTTTATTGGTTAATTTTTTTTTTTAAATTTTTTTTTATCAAGCTAGAAATGCATTATCAAGCAAAACCAAAGAGTACACATGAAAGCCCACAACAGGACTAACAAATGAGAAAAATATACATGATTTTACAACTAAAAGCAGTGTAAGGGGGATACAGGAAGAAGGACGCTGCACCTAGGCCTGGCAAACGAGTCGTATCTGTCGTATTCGTGTCGTTTTCGTGTAACACCTATTATCTTAACGGGTCGTGTCATGTCACACCTGTTATCTTAAAGGGTCCTTAACAGGTCTGGTCACTTTACCCAACGGGTAAAGTGACCCGACCCGTTATGACCCGTTAAGAAAAATATAAATTTTCTTAAATTTGCACATACCACACATTACCACATAAATATTACTTCAAAATATTAAAACATATTTGTCATTTAAGTACTACATCTACACTCGAAAATAAGAGCCTAATAAAAAAACAAGTTTGACGGTTGTGATCTCGAAGCATATACAAACAAGTTTGACGGTTGGATCATTAAAATTAGTTTCATAGAATTTGTATCCCAACAAAACGATAGATTCACTAACACTTGGAGTTTATTTATACTTTCATTAAGTATAACATAAGATTTTGTGGTATCTACTTGTGTAAATATTTTAAATTGACAATCAAATTCATTCATTGTATAGGGTCAAGGAGTGTAGTTGTAAAATAACCGTTAAATCGTGATTTTTTTTTTTTTATAACCGTCGAAATGTTTTCTCTAATTACTTGATCTCTAAATATTTGTTTTTTGTGATTTTTGGTGTATGCGATCTCAAAGTATATACACACAAGTTTGACGGTTAGATCGTTAAAATTGCTTTCATAGAATATCCCATCAAAATGATAGATTCACTAACACTTAAAGTTTATTTATACTTTCATTAAGTATAACATAAGATTTTGTGGTATCCACTTGTGTAAATATTTTAAATTGACGATCGAATTCATTCATTGTATTCATATAGGGTCAAGGAGTGTAGTTGTAAAAAATCATCAAAATCGGAGTTAAAATAACCGCTAAATCGTGATTTTTTGTTTTATAACCGTCGAAAAGTTTTGTCTCATTACTTGATCTCTGAATGCTTGTTTTTTTGTGATTTTTGGCGTATGCAATCTCGAAGCATATACAAACAAGTTTGATGGTTGGATTGTTAAAATTGGTTTCATAGAATTCGTATCCCATCAAAACGATAGATTCACTAACATTTAGAGTTTATTTATATTTTCATTAGGTATAACATAAGATTTTGTGATATTCACTTGTGTAAATATTTTAAATTGACAAACAAATTCATTCATTGTATTCGTATAGGGTCAAGGAGTGTAGTTGTAAAAAATCATCAAAATCGGAGTTAAAATAACCATTAAATCGTGATTTTTTGTTTTATAATCGTCGAAAAGTTTTGTCTAATTACTTGATCTCTAAATGTTTGTTTTTTGTGATTTTTGGCGTATGCGATCTCGAAGCATATACAAACAAGTTTGATGGCTGGATCGTTAAAATTAGTTTCATAGAATTCGTATCCCATCAAAACGATAGATTCACTAACACTTAGAGTTTATTTATATTTTCATTAAGTATAACATAAGATTTTGTGGTATCCACTTGTGTAAATATTTTAAATTGACGATCAAATTTATTCATTGTATTCGTATAGGGTGAAGGAGTGTAGTTGTAAAAAATTATCAAAATCGGAGTTAAAATAACCGTTAAATCGTGATTTTTTGTTTTATAACTGTCAAAAAGTTTTGTCTCATTACTTAATCTATGAATGTTTGTTTTTTTGTGATTTTTGGCGTATGCGATCTCGAAGCATATACAAACACGTTTGACGGTTGGATCGTTGAAATTAGTTTCATAGAATTCGTAACCTATCAAAACGATATTCACCAACACTTAGAGTTTATTTATACTTTCATTAAGTATAACATAAGATTTTGTGGTATCCACTAGTGTAAATATTTTAAATTGAAAATAGAATTCATTCATTGTATTCATATAGGGTCAAGGAGTGTAGTTGTAAAAAATCATCAAAATCGGAGTTAAAATAACCATTAAATCGTGATTTTTTGTTTTATAACTATCGAAAAGTTTTGTCTCATTACTTGATCTCTGAATGTTTTTTTTTTTGTGATTTTTGGGTGTATGCAATCTCGAAGCATATACAAACAAGTTTGACGTTGGATCGTTGAAATTAGTTTCATAGAATTCGTATCCCATCAAAACGATATTCACTAACACTTAGAGCTTATTTATACTTTCATTAAGTATAACATAAGATTTTTGTGGTATCCACTAGTGTAAATATTTTAAATTGAAAATCGATTTCATTCATTGTATTCATATAGGGTCAAGGAGTGTAGTTGTAAAAAATCATGAAAAAATCGGAGTTAAAATAACCGTTAAATGGTGATTTTTTTGTTTTATACCCG